GGACTTGGCTCATGCCTACCTCGGTGTGGCGAGGAGGCATGGGGGGTGCCCGGGCCATGGGCCTCAGGTTTTGTAAATGCATGTTGATACTCCTTTTAACATTGACCAACCTGGTCTTGCACTGCAACAAAAAAGGAGGCAGCAGAGTTGAGTCTTTATATATATATACACATGTACTGTATATATATATATATTTATATGCATTACGAAAGCCAGCCGATAGGCTAGGCTGAAGGGATGTTCCATCTAGGCGGTCCAAGAGAGGGTGGGACGACACGCACCGTGACCAACGGACTCAACGCCACGAGTGTCAGAAACGGAGTGACTGCACGAGTTGGTATGCTCATGGCCATTTTGGTTTCAAGGCTTGCCTCCGGGCTGTGGAGTGAACTCTTCAAGCAGAGACAGAATACCACCGTGACCTGCTGCCCACCCCTTCGGAGTGTGGCTTCAAGCTGGTAGATGCAGCGCATCAATGTGTTTGTACGAGGCCGCGGGGATCTCATCACCAATGGCGCAGGTGGAGTGTTTAAAGAAAGTGTTTGACGGCAAGCCTCAGACGTGTCAACGCTTTCCCTTTTCTCCCCGATCAGTGCAGTCGTGCATGCGGCTGTGGTCGCTGGTGGCTCAGCTCTTTTTTTCGCAGACTTTCGATGGCAGTGCATGACCAAGCTGGCCTACTCGTGTCGCCACAGAAAGCATCAACGCGTTTGAAGTTTCAGCCTTCCTTCGAGTTCCGACGTCGGACACGATACTGGCCCTCGCTTGAGCCGCCCACCTTCGCAGAATCAACGCAGTGATTTTGATGAGCCAAGCAATGCCGACTCGGGGCCCACACTACAAGTATAGGGACAGGTGCATGTGTGCGCTTTAGGGTTTTTGGTGCGGGTGCCGCTGCAGGGTGTCGCTGCCAGATGTGTGGCCGTGTTCGCTTTGGGGCCAGGGTGCTGCTGCGAGATCCCCATGGCCTTGCATGCTTTAGAGAGTGCTGGTGCCGGTGCTGAGGCAGATCTCATGGCAGCTTTGGAGCCTGCACATGTGTGCCGTTGCCATGATGCTGTTGAAAAATTGTTTTGTGCTATTTGGTGTCTATGCTGGCGCAATTTGTTTTGTGAGACGCACATGTGCCAGTCAAACATGGAGTTTCGATTCTGTTTGTGTGCCCACAGGCTTTGTCCATGTTGACGCGACAACCAGCTACCCAGGAGTCCTTGGATGACAAGGGTGAGACCATTCGAGTGATCACTATAGAAACTTGGGAGCAAGTCAGGTTTGCTGACATGCGCGCAGCAGTGTTGGATGTCCATGTCCAGTGATGGAATGCGGCCAGCACCACCGAGGACTCTTTGCGGCAGGCGTTCCTTCAGATTGACGCGTCGGGGGACATCCATGACGTCCAGCTCATGGCACGCACAGCAGTGATTGTTAAGCAGACCAACGCATGCTTTTGGTTTGTGCCTCATCCTCTGCTTACATAAGTGGGTTGTACTACTCACTCTCGTTGAAATGATGCTTGCGGTTCTGCTGCCAGATCGATGATATAGATGCCAACAATGATGGCAGGATGAGCTGATTGCATTTGTGGATGTCATCGCGTGAGATTTCCCTGTAGGTGTTGTGTCACACCTGTTTTCTTTGTATGAGCATCAGCACGAGGATCGACTATGATGAGTGGAAGGGTATTATGACCCGCCACTTGGATCTCTAACACTAGTACATCCTGTGCACCTCATCACCTAGCAGATTCCTTGAGTCAGTGCTCAGGCAAGCTCCTGGGCGAAGACAGCATGAGCTCTGCGCCGCACACATTCGAGGTAGGGCTGAGAACAGTAGTTGAGGATTGGTTGTGAAGCTGTTGAACAGCTGTTTTCCCCTTCCACACATTCTGCAGGTCTTGGACGATAACAAGGAGCACCTCTCTGCACACAAGCGCCGCTTCCCCATGCTTGCCTGTGCACTCTGCAATCGGCTTTTAGATAGTGGATGCAGGATGACTATATTCCTGCGGTCGAATTGCGGTCGCTACTGATGAAGGAGGCCATGCTGTTCCAGAGAATGCATATGGCACGTGGTTTGTGATGTGACTTGTATATTGCACTTCACTTTCTTACTAATTGTAACTGAAACACATTTACCTGCATTGCAGTGCATTGCTATTGCAGGCCCCTGAAGTTTGATGGTAGTTCGTGTCCACCCCTGAACCTGGCAGGGACAAGCTCCTCTCAGTGAGCAGGAGGTTGATGAACTGCTGCTTTTTGCTGACCCAGATGCTTGAGTTAATTGAGAACCTCAAGCACACAGCTGCGTACATCGTGATTGATATACAGTAACGAAAGTAATCGCAGCCGAAGTTCTGTTTGTCAGTCTGGCAGTAGTGTGGCAGCCTGCAGCTAAGGATCAGGATGGACTTGTGAATTACAAAGAGTTCCTGAGGCATCCTGGCCCGAAGAAACATGGTCCAATATGGTCCAATCAACATCAACCGTAGACAACGTCCTGCCCGTCAGAGCCTTCAGCAGGGGTAGATACGTGTCAAACAGAAACATGTGTGCCGTGCAATACAGCGCCCGGATTCACCCCATGGCGAACCAGATCAAGACACGGTCATTGGAGCTCGGAGATAGACGTGTAAGCTAATATAGTCCAGCGAAAAATTGGCCAGAGATTCACGTTGGCGGAGATGCTGTTTAATAACTTTTTGGTGGAGATTCCGGCGCAGTGCGCAATTTGGGGCGGAGGTGGTAATTATGTACGTCCCAATATCGACTCAATTGGGAGCCTTCGATTGCAATGGCTCCTTTATGGATCGGATTGATTCGGGAGTGATGCATCCGATGGGACAATCCAAGTCCAAGTGCCAGTGTACCCGCGATTGTACCTTCTTAAAAGCAGCTCGTAGTTTCGCAAAGCCAGGTGGCTCAGCAATCCCTACTGGCATCACCAATACAAGGACTAGGGTGTACTTGGCGACGTGCGCTGCCCCAGCCTGTGATTGGCAAAATGTTATGAACATCCAGTACACAGATGCCTCTTAACCTGCAAATTTCTCAGGCTTTCATGGCAACAGCTCCTTGGATTCGCTTGCGAAACATGGCTGAAAAGGCCTTGTTGTAGTGTGAGGTCCCCAGGCCCAGGTGTAACTTGTCACTTGTAACCAAGGATGTCGAGCGACCGGGTGAAATGCCTTTAGCTGAGCCAAACTTTTTGCGTACGGCAGAAAGTGCCGTATCACTGCACCGCTGCTCCGCTGTTGGCGAGTGTTGCTGGATTGTACAGTAGCAGTTTCGCCTTTTGCGAGCGATGTGAATCGGTATAATTCGTTTGAGAGGCAGAAGTGTTTCCTGTAGAGTTGAGCGATCTGGCTAGCAGCTCTGCTGTGCCTCAGCTGGCTTCAAGTGCCATGAGTTGCATCGGACACATCTCTTGTGTGCACACTTGCAGGTTCCTTTGTATGAGATCGTGTTGCAGCCTAGAAGGATTTTACAATGGGAAAAGCTCTGGCATCCCTCATTATAGTATCTTTAGCCAGCCAACATGAAGGTCTTGGGAAGGTTCGCAGGTGCTCCTCTACTGCTAAAAGCTTTGTTTGTTTCTTTCTCCCTCGCTCGCTCGCGCTGTCTCTCTCTCTCTCTGTCTTTTGCTGTCCCTCCGTCCGTCCGCCCATCGGTCCGTTTGTCCGTCCGTCGGTCTGTGCGTTTGTTTGTGTTCGTGTCTCTGTATCGGTCTCTCTGTCCGTTCGTTTGCCCATCCGTCTCTCTGTTTGTCTCTCTCTTGCCCTTCGTTTTCTCCACTTTAGTCTACTTCATTTACTGTATAAACCCCGTCGAACTGATTTACATGGGCGTAAACATGTGCACAACACGTTGCAGATCAATTCATCACTAGACTATATTCGATATGCTTTCGAGCCCAGTTTTGATCAACACTTGTGACAACTTCGGGAGAGGATGGTCTGAAGATTGGCAGCGGCAGCGCTGCTTCACTACAAATATGCTCTCAATGGATGTACGTCTCACCCAAGTGCAGATAGCAAGCAAGACATCAAGACTATACAAGACTTGTGACAGCTGCTACCTGCCAACTGTGGCTTTTTGGACCTTTTGGCGTGAGATAAGAGACATGTCATCGTGTGTGATTTTTCTAATGTGACAGTAATGCCTTTGTTACTAGAGTGCGCATGTGATGATTTGATGAGTCTGAAGCATTGCAAGCACGCGGCTGTATGGCCCAGGGCCATCCGAAGGAGTTCAGCGCATCGGGCGGCATTTCACGAAGCATTTACACTGCGGCTTCGGCAGAATAGGACAAACATCACGAAGAAGTTGTACAGGATATTGTAGGCATTTCCTGCGCAATGGGTCGCACCGGGGCCTTCTCCGCCTTTGTAGAGGCAGTGGAATGTCTTTCCATGGAAGAAATCTGACTTTGGTTGTTGATTTGTGATGCAAAAGAATCTGGTCTCCGGTGTTGATTGCTTCCGGCACGCCTCTCCATGGCGATGATTTAATGACAGTGGAAGCTGTGCAGGTCGAGCGCGAGGCCCGGGACGAGTTGCTGGCCTTGCGAGGCAAAGGAGATTCGACTCAGGCAGGGGGTGTGATCTTGTGAGGAAAGCAATCGCGTGCTAAGATCATTCTTAACTGTTACTGTAAGAGAATCATAGAAATGAATGAACATTTTTGGCAGTTGCGATATTATCGTTTTCTCTTTTGTCAGGAAGTGACGGACACACGCAAGGACTGTTTGGCTTGAGTGGCTGCAGGGCAGCCTGCACATATTGTTGCAAATAGGTTGCCCTGTGAAGCACAGGATCTTCTGGATGAAGCAGGCTTCATTGTGGATGAGCGTGCCAGCTGAACACTAGTTTCTGGATGTTTGTGGTGTTCTGCGGTCTGTCTCTCTAGAACCAGTAGTGTCATGTTGTGGTAGTAACAAGAAGCTACTTGTAGCAGGGGCATCGCTACTAGCAACATCTAGTAACAAAGGGCATTGCTACTAGGAGCAAGGACGCTACTAGGGGCTCCTGGCATCGCTACTAGGAACAAGAAGCTAGTAGGGGCTCCTGGCCTTACTACTAGGAGCAAGGACGCTACTTCCATTGTAGCTGCTTGGACCCACCGCGCCTCAGGACAAATGCCTTGGTCTATGTGTCGCGTCAGGAGGAGCAACGGAAGGACGGCATAGAACACACGGTCATTTTTAAGATTCTTGCATTGTAAAGAAGTCCTCTGAATGGTGTGCCTTGCGTTTCGGTTTGGAATTTGCACCAGTCTTTCTTACAACGAGGCGAGAAGCCTCGCTTTTAGATAGGCTTGTGCTTCTGCGCTAGCTAAACCAAAATAGAATCCTTCCCGCTGCTGTTGTGTTCGTGGTCGTGGTCGTGGTCATGGTCGTGGTGGTGCTGGTGGTGGTCATGGTCGTGGTCGTGGTCGTGGTTCGTGGTCGTCGTGGTCGTCGTGGTCGTCGTGGTCGTCGTTGTTGTTGTCGTCGTCGTCGACCTGTGACTGTTTTTTTGGTGACGGTGAGTAAATTCGGTGTTGCGGTGATTTGTTGACTTGGGTTTTCATATATTCTTGCAAAATTATATAATGCAATGTTTGGAGTGAGTTTATACCGTTTTAGGCAAGGTGGAGTGCTGAGCCTGTCTTACCTGTATACAAACATATAGATACATATATAATCAAAATCAATATAGGTATACAGCATATATAACACACATACACACACACACGTATATAAATATATATATATACAGTACATACCGACACATAGCAGAATGTCCAGACAGCTCAGGAAGGTTGCCATTCGGAAGAAGCCTAGCGTCAATGCGCATGTCTTGGGTGCCTTTGAGTACGGGCAGCGGCTTGTGCTTTTTGACACTTGGACAAACAGGTACAGCACTGAGGCAGTTTGCAGCCCAAAACTGGATTTCTGAGCCTTTGCGCAGACGACGTGCTGGGGGTCGTCCTGAGGAAGCGGACGAAACTGGCACCTGGCGGAAGCTCCATTTCCGTTTACGTGGAGGCCATGGTGGCCTGGTGGAGGCGCAGCAAGCATTCTGGAGGGATTTTTGCCGACAAAAAGGACATGCTGATTCTAGAATTCACATTTCAGCTTCACTTGTGTTTGTCAAGATGATGTAAACTGACCTTTGCTAGGGGCGCTTCAGCTGAGGCTTGGGTCATGCTACAACATCCGCAACTTGGGGTGCTAGTATCGCGCGATGTTGAGGACTGGATGATGGAGTTTGGCCGGGGGTTTGTGTGGGAGCTGTTCGTTAGACCCTGTGGTTGGCCTGGGGCCTTGGCTGAGCATGCATCACAACACTTGTGTTTGCGATCCTGCAGGGTCTCCAGATCAAGTTTATCGGGTGGAGCCCAGGAAGGTATAAAGGATATTTAAGCACTCCGTTGCAAGGAGGGTCTGAACGCAATGGCAGGCTCCATCCCTATTGTCACATCTTGCTCAGGCTTGGAAATCTCCAAGAAAGGGCTCCTCGGAGAGGAAGTTCCATCTATCAACCTCTCACTAAGTATCGGCATTCCAGTGAAAGAGCTCATTGCAGCACTTGGCGGTTTTCACCTTCCTCCGTCACCACCTCCGCCTCCAGATCAAATACCAGATTGCTTTGCGAACAAGGGCTCGGCGTCCTCAGCCAAGCCATCCAGCGATCCTAGTTCCTCCGCTCCAAGCTTTCCTCCTTCTGTCCGTGGATGGGAGGCCATTCCGGCCGCCCCTGTGATACAGCCACTGTCAGGGTCAAGCCGAGTGAAGGTCTCCAACATTTTAAAGCGCCTCAAGCCAGATGAGGTGCAGAGCCTTTTTGAAGAACATGTGGGGCCTGTCCTGCAATGTTCCATTGTAGAGGATACAGCGAGGATCATATTTGACAGTGCGGAGAGCGCTCGAAAAGCGGTGGAGGAGTACGACGGAGGACTCCTCGAAGTTTGCTCAAAGAAGATTTACGAAGAGACATCAAATCCATCATCCTTGTCCCTGCACCCAAAGCGCCAGAGCAGTAGTTGGGTGGAAGAGCGGGTGGGGCCTCTTTCAAAGTGCTACTTGCGACGTGGAGAAGGATGGATGACCGTCTTCAGAGCTGCCATCACCAAGCAGCTCAAGAAGGACTGATGCTGACACAAGCGCGGACACTCTCAGAATTGAGCATAAGATGCCCAACACTTCGCTCAGCTGTTAGGTTAGGTCCAAAAATCACGTTTACATTGCAAAAAACGATGCCTTAATTAAGACATTGGAGCTTGTTTGCAGGAAGACGCCCTCAGTCAGATCGACTTCAAGGGCAGCATCATTGAAGTCTGCTATGACACTTCAAGTGAGTTCACCCAAAGCCCGGGTCACTTCGTGGTCGGGTTGCCAGTGGAGCTGTGAGAGCAGCATGGTTTACCTTTGGCTGGCACGGTAAGGTTTCTTCCTGCTTGCCAGTGGAACTACAGTTCACCGTGAAAAGTACAGTGAGCAGTTCTGTGGCAGACCCAGGCTCGAGCCTGTTTCGTGATTCTGTTCGCGGCTGGTGCTAAAACAACTCCTCGAAGCTGTGTTTGAGGGAGAGCCTGAGAGAGGGGAGAGGGTACAGACAGGCCGGCAGACAGGCAGGCTACTGATAGCAGCTAGAATAATGACAAATTGTCACGACTTGAAGATGGTTATTTCAGGTTTTGGTCAGTCAGTCAGGTTCTAAAGGAAGTTCAGCTGCTTTCTCTTCAGGAGCTGCAAGCTGCACCATCCCCACCACAAACCAACCCAGTGCTGGATATCCCCGAGGAGAAGCACTTGGCTGAATGCACGGTTGGTCAATTGTCATGTTCCACACTGCCAACAAAAAGCGCAATCCTTGAGAAATTGCCATACAATTGAGATTGAACGTGCTAGGAAGTAGACCAAGCCGCCCACTTGGCAGCGCTGGCAGCAGAGTTCGGGGAGCGTCTTCAGCTTGTGCAGGAGAAGGCACTGCATTAAAAGCGAATTGAAGGCGACAGTTGAACGGAAGGTGATCAAAGCGAATAGAGATGCCAGACATGCCACTGCAGGGCCTGCGGGAATACGGAATTCCCCAAGAGTTCATGGATGTTCGGGAGAGCTTCGAAGTGGTACGGAAGCCAATGGTAGCAGTAAGAAGCCAGCCGAGCACAGATGGCCTGATCGCAGCTGGGCTTGATTTCTCAGTCGATGTTATGAGCTGCAAGTTAGGAGGGGAAGCCAACCTGGTGAGACCACACCGCAATTTCCAGGTGTTCTCAGTCGAATTTGGCCAGCATGTGGACACCTTCGGTGCAGATGATTCAGGGCAATGGCGGAGAGTCTATTGCCAATGCACCAAGGCTGCGAAGCAGGCAGGAGGGGGACAGACAGTCAAAGCGAATCGCAGTGTGGTGGTTGCAGTTGAATAAAGAGACATCATGGTATCCCTTTTGTGTCCGACTCCACATCCAGGATGTGCCCTTACCTCGAGATCCAGTACAAGCCTGGATCATGATTCAGCATCCGTCATTGGGGCAATTGCTGAGGCCACACCCTTTGGCTATTCCACTGCCAGGTCGCACTGACCCTGACATGGTCCTAATAGACTTCCAGAACTGGGAAGACGTGACAGTTGACATCATTTCACTAAGTTGCAAGTGCAATTCTGCAGAGTGTGCCTGTTTTGCTCGGAGGCATCTTGAGTGAGCAGATGATCAAGGAAAAAGACCTTGCGCGGCAGTCGCTTGATGTGTTCCACACGGAGACAAATGGTAGTTTAGGGGATTTTTGGGAACGCAGTATAGGTTATAAGTTATAAGCGGCTGTCAGAGGCTTTTAAGAAAACTGCGGATTCAGTATTTTGTTCGTCCAGGGCAGAGGCTCTGACAGCTCCTTAGCCAGTGAGCTTTGCAAGTTGCAAGGTTTCAAATGCTCTGCTGGGCATTTGCAAGGCTTTGGATTGAGCTCGAGCTTGCATCGGCTGCCGTGTATTGTCCATTGAACCTGATTAGTCACCACACAAGTCCATTCGAACGTTGCATGCCCATGTGTTTGAGCCAGTGTGTAAAAAAACGGGTATCCATACTATGCGTGCTGTTTGAATCTCGAAATCTCCGAATGTAGTGTGTGAACGCACGGCAAGACACCAGGCAGCGGCATTCGGAATCGGAACAGATTGAAAAGAAGATCCATGAGCTGTAGACTTAGTCTCCTCGGATGTCGGCCCGTGGGCCGGGTTAGAATTGAAATCAGGTGCTCCTGCTCATCAGACTCTGAAGTTAGGAGACCCAAAGCCATAGGTTGGAGGCCATCGTTATTCGGTCGAGGCCATCGCTAGCAGGTTTGAGGTCATTCCTACTAGGTTGGAAGCCATTGCTATTAGTAACTCAAAGGAAGAGTGTTTCTTTAAAATGTCAGTTTGGACCTCAAGGCCTGGCAAACAGAGTGCGGATCTCGGCCCATGTTGCCGAACTGAGGCTCAAGGAAGGAAGGGGAGCGGAGTGTGTGTGTTTTTTTGTGCGTTGTTTTGGTTGTGAGGGGGTTTGTAACGAGTGTCCCTGGATGGGAGCCGGAGAGCAAATACTGCGGATGATACCTGCCTCAGCTGATAGCATCATGATGCTTCATTGATATGTCCATCTCGGAAAGCTTACCCCGCTACATTTTTCAACTGGATGCTGAAGAACCAAGCAAATCATCGAAGGCCCTTCACCACGTTTCATAAGTCCTTTCACAGCATAGAAGGCTAGCAACTCAATGTTGCACTATCATAATTCTCGCCCAAAATCTGCTCCTTGATTGGCCCATGGGAGCAAAACGCTTCGCAGACATTTGGATCAGATGGAAGATGTTTTTGACGGAGCACTGCTGAACCACTTGGAGCCTTGACCAAATGATGCAAGGGAACACAGCACATGCAATAGATCCAGATTAGATTCAGAATGATTCAGATCCAAGATCTTCAGAAAGGGCTGTCTTGGAATCGAAGAATAGCCGCAAGGCTTTTCGGCAGCAGTGCTTCGTCGCGGACAAGCAGCTGGTCCAAGGGGAGCCACTGCTGGCGGTACCCTTGTCGTGTGACACTTAGCCTGAGATGTGGCAGCTGGGTGGAGGTTGGGGAGGCATGTGGCAAGATAAGGCTTGACGTTCTGAAGTCTATGTTGATTGATTTGCTGGATTCGATCGATGTGAGGAAGTGCTGGACTGCGAAGACTGCCCGGTCCTGCGCCAAACTGTCGGAGTTGCTGGTGATTTGGCTGCACCAAGTTGTGTGTGGGATGTTTATAGCACCTACAAGTGGTGCCTTTGCCAGACTTCTACCCCAAAAGGAACCGGGAGGAATTGGCCTGCCAACCGCTTGCAATTGAGATGTGCACGATTTCTTCTTCCCATATGGACCCATATGCTCACAGAATGCAACAGATGTTCATACGAGATGTTTCTCGTATGGTGTTGGCCAATTCAACGCGCAGCGAGCCAGGATGCTGACTCACCGGACTCTACGTGGTTGGCTCTCCATGTATTGCTGGTTGCACAAAACCAGGCCGATCCAAAGCTGCAGGAGCAGCTGCAGCTGCTGAACAGCACGGTCACAGGCGGCTCATGGGCAGTTTGAAACAATTGAAGGGGTTACAGCGACGCAGCATGTCAGGTTTGCTTCAGTGGGAAGAGACTGAGCTTTCCTTATTACATGGCAGCCGCTGGTCGCACGTTGCGCAGCAAGGTGCATTGACCATACAGCGCCTGATGCATGGTGGTCAAAGCTTGTGATCTATTGAATTGCCATAGACCCACCCTTGTTTTCAAATTCCCCCTCAAGCAAGTGATGCGCGGTGACAAATGTGACCAAGAGGATGGTCAGATAGTCAGTTAGTCATTGTCCTTTGGGGTGGGTAGCTGGAGGGCTGTGCGGCGAGGCCGCGAGGAGATTCATTCAGAGCTTGGAGAACTCTGCGGTGGCGGCCCGGCCGCACTTTTCCGACGTTTGATTTGTTCGCACATCAGACCTGTGCACTACTACATCTTTGCATGTGTATATTGGTCATATAGCTCTCCGCTGCCTGTGCTGGTGACAGTTTGACTCTGCTTGGCTAAGTTGTTGGTGAAGAGAAACTTCGAGAGCTGGGCGTTACACCGCAGGGATACCTTTGGGCACAGGTCCAGTGGACTGTATGTGGAGTATTTTGCGTTCGCAGTGGCACTCAGCATGTCCTGCCTCGCTGAATCCTGGATAGGCTGCTTTGCAGCAATGCTTGCTCCGATTCCTTGGTGACGACGGCAATTGTGTTGAGATCTTCATGCCGTTTCTAACGCTGCTCGTGTCCTGTCTTGAAAATGAAAGTTGCTTGGATTCGTGTGGTGATGCTGAAAGAGCTCCAGTCCACTTAGGAGCCAGATGCCAGCTATGAATTGCCTCAAACAGCAGCAGACTGTGCTCGGCTGGAGTTTCTGGATGGGCAGGACTTGAAGCGTACGTATTTATTGGGTGTTGTTTTTGGTTACTGTACACAGTTTCAGTGTCGGTGTTGACTGAGCCTGCTTTTGGGATTTGAGGTGGTGTCTGTGAAGCCACCCGGTTGAAGGAGCCATTGCTGGTATTCTACGCCCCAATCGGGTTTGATGCTGGGGCACAAGTGTGCGTGTGCCATGGTGGCTGCTTGGACTTAACGCGCTGTTGCTCACCACGTCACTAGGTCGAAAATTGAATTTTGTTTGAGGGAACGCGACGGAGCAGGAGTCACGCGGTGTACTTGACCATTAGTGGCATTAGTGCAGAAGATGCTCGGACGGACCGGCGCCTGTTGTGGCGACGCAGGTCTCGCTGGCGGTAGTGGCCGCCTGTTGATGGAGCGCGGTCGCGTTTGGGTGGGCAATCCGTGGGAGTATGTGGAATTTGTTTGGCACCCAGGGAAAAACATGCACACACTCAAGGACTTAGCAGAGAAACATGGGCAAATTGTTTTCGTCTCCTGTCTTTTGTCGCTTGCACAGTGGGCACATGAAAGGATCAGGGGTCACCGGCCGAGGCCCTGACGCTGCCAGTCTCGGCTGAGAAGATCGCAGAGGCATCTCAAAAGGCGCTGAAGTCATGGGTCTAAGGGACGAGACTTGAGAAAGCCACAGAAGCGAACGAATAACAGGTTCCTCCCTCGAATTGCTCATGAACAATTACAAAACATTACAGTAATATATTTAGGTTCAATTTGCATTTGTCATTTCTCCGGTCCAGCCCAACAGGTGGCCGCTTTGGCACTTCCAGCGCCCAAAGCTGGGGAGTTCCTGGCGCCTGAGCTGCTTGAAGGCTGGGAGCCTGCACAGTTGGAGGAGGACCAACTGCAGCTGAACATCAGGTGGGGTAGCTGCCGGAGTCTGGAGATTCGTCATGGCGAGCCACGCGTGATTCCATGCAGACTTGTTTGGCATGAAAATGAAACAGACGCTCAGCAACGCAGCCAAATAACATCTGAACCGGGGTGCTTTTTGGAGCAATTCTGCCTGCTTGATCCTTTCACCATCCTCAACACTTACTGTATATATGTAAATAGATAAAGAGGTATAGATATAGATAAGACAGTGCCATCACAGCTGAATCACTTAGGGTCTCACAGCAGCGGCCGTTCCCATGGCCAGAGCTGGAGCTTTTGCAGGCCACTGCACCTCTTGGCATTTGAGATGGTATTCAGACAATAAATAAGATGGAACCCACGAACCCGAATGCAAACACGTTCGAACAACTACATACTCTATAGTCAGATAACTTGGCTCAGGTTTTTGTAATGAGCCATTTATTGTGTAGGGAAAAAACCCTCTGGAACGGAAAAACCCAGATGCAGATGGCACAAGGCGAAAAGCCGTCACACTCTTGTAGGACACTCTTGTAGGACACTCTTGTGGGTCACTCTTGTAGGAAACTCTTGTGGGACACTCTTGTAGGACATGGGACACTCTTATAGGACACTCTTGTGG